TCTTAATAAAATTCCATGGTTCGTCCCTAGCCACCCAACCTGGAATTATAAATTGTCTTTACTCCCTCCGGGACCTTTGCATTTCTCAGATTACTTTATGAATCACACGATACAAAAAGGTCTGTGTTGACACGGCAAAGTTAAGTCACACTTCGCTCTTTATCGTGAACATTGATTGCCTCCCGGGTAAATAACAAAAATCGCTCCTTTTGGTGGAAACGTTTGACTAGTTCAACGCTGCAAACTGTTGCACAAGCGGAATGCTTGATGTAGCTATTTTGAAAAAGGCAGCATCACTTCAATTCAATGCTTATCCATTTTCCCTCAGCTATAATTTATTGTTTTGACTTGTAAGTTGTCACGGTACGGAAGGGTCAACCTTTGCCGGAAATGTCTCCCAAAGAATTTCGCGCGACTGTCTGATCGCTACTTGATCAACGTTCAATTATGTTCAATAGGACTGATTCTCACGGAAAGAGGAACAACACAAAAAGCTCATTATTAACGTAGATACAATCAAGAAAAACTTATATAAGAGATGACCGCGGGCATGTTTCATTTCGTTTTAACAAAGTTTCGTTTACACAATGAACGATTATGTTTTAGGCCTTATGTAAATCTTCGTAACGTGACCTGTTTTGTAAACACATTACTCAGCCCATTTCAGAAAGTTGCTTTCTTAGTTAAGAAAGACTGGCCTGAATCATGCAGATCTTTAGGCTCATATCTTTTGGGTAGAAATAGAAGGGAGGAATATGCTTCGGACTTCAGTTACGCTCCAATCTATGAAGTTTTCTATGGTTTTTTAGCGTCCACTGTAGAATTTTCCCGTCTGGCTTCCGAGTCTGAAACTTTCCTTTCCTTTCCTTATCCTGAATTATTACAGTCAGTGTGTTTTAAAAGAATCTGCAGCGTTTTTTAAAAAAATCTGAGCTGTTTCTGTACCAATGAAAATTATACTGTACGGTGATTCAAAAATAAAATTTAACTGTAACAAAAGATCATCAATTTCACTTTTTCCTCAAATCAATGAATATCATACATTTGTTTTAACATAGTTTATATTGAGATGACGGATAATGAAAAGAAGATCAAGAACTTTTGCCAGAAAGGAAGGACAGCAGAAGTTACTCAGTACGAGAAGTCTCAAGTATCAACTGGATCAACTAATGATGTTTTGCCATGGCTATCAAAATTCTTTTAATCGGTGAAACAGGAGTTGGGAGATCTCACTTGACGAATGCTCTGATCGGTTAACAGCAGGCTGTGGAGGCAAAAGGTGTTGATCCAAAAACCGCTGAGGCAGGTTTTACAGAATCATTAACTTATAGAAAGCTTTAGTTAAATTTTGATCACTTATAAACGTGATACTGGATGGAATGAAAAATTGAAAATTAATCTAAGGATTCGGACAAGAAACTTGAGCCATATGAAGTAAGAGTCAAATGCCCCCGCAACATTCTTCAAAATGATATTGCAAGGTAGGAGCATGAAGCGAGATACCCCATGCTGTAAGCGTGAGGAAAAATACTCAAGTAAAAAATCGGTTCCAGGTTGGTTCCAATGGTTTTACATGGTTTTTGCATCACCAAGCGAGAAGGTGGAAGTTGTATCTGATAAAGAGGTGTTTAATGAACAGTTCAGACGTCTGAAGAAGACATTTCGGCAAGCCCTGACCACAACTGTGAAATGCCTGAAGAGGATGCCATTGAGGGGAATCCATGGAGCCCAGACTGCCGGACAGAAACGACTGGAAGACAGTATTTTGGGTGACGGCGTTCAAACGCATCAGCAGAGTAGCAAAGGCTGCTTTTCTCCTATCAAATGCTGATTGACTGTAATTTTCTCATAGCTCGAATTTTCGACGAAGAGAAACCCGAAAGCGCTGCCATTACCATACGTTCCACTACGTGACTTTGGAAAATTTTGTGGATGTCCCACCCAAACATGGAGAAGCTAAAGGACTGCCTGAAATACTACCTGAAGGTAAAAAGGCTGAAAACATTGTTTCTCATTCCATATGCCTGGACCAAACTTCTCCTCGAAGAATCGTTTGAGAAATTGTAGGGGATGCGACCGACAGTCATGATGGCACCAAAGCGATCAATCGAAATACATTCGTCCGCTATCATCAAACGTTCCTTCCTTGGATTATTAAATATTTGAAGACATTTTTTCGAAAGAAGCACTAAGAGGAAGAAACTAAGAGCCAAGGGTCTTTACAGTAAACTACTTGTTCGAAACACCCAAACCCGCACAGATCATTAGAACGGCGTGTCATATTAGTACAAATATTTAGGCAAAAAATTCAAAGATCGCATATGCTCGTCATTAGTTTCTATATTTTATCAAACACAAGATAAACTTTATAACAACACTGGGAGAGTTAGAATGATTTAGGGCTTGATTTTGATGGTTTCCATTGGTTCCCCATGAATCATTAATACTAAATAAGCAAGCAATTGATCTGTTCTGATATAGTGAAATTTCCCTGTATAAAGACAAACAAATGGTGTAGATGGCCACATCGCCAAAAATAGCCCTTTTATCAATTTGATTTAAAGAATGTTCCAATATGAAAAAGAGCAAATTTGACTTTTTTAACTGAACGAAGCCATAGAAACAGACAGATCACTGAGGGGGCAGAGGAGTGAACTGTTAGAAATTGAAACAGTGAATAACATTGAACGAAACAATTACAACAGCACAATCACAGCAGTATTTCCATGTTAAATTTGGTAAGTTGGCGACTGTTTATATCATTGTTGATATAGAGTTATTTATTATATCCATCCTACAATGACCATGGTACTATTAATTGTCTTCAAAACTTGCTAGGAAACTGTTTATTGAGTCACAAAATACCAAATAACAACGAAAGAAAAACAATAGAAGATGCAGTGTAATGACCGTGTAAACGTCAAAATCAATCATAATAGTTACGCTTCCCCAGACCTCTTCCCCGTTCTTCGTCTTCG